ACAGTCCCGTCAACACAGACACGACAACATAGACGTTCGTGCAGAGTTAACACTGAGTAGAATGGGTGATACTCAGACTAGGTTAGGCCGAAGTTGTGCATATGACAGGGGATGCTGTTCTTGGTGACCATAATCATGTACATAATCATAATCATGTATGCCCTCCCAGCTAACTAAAGCGTCTTTAGAGACCATGTAGACCTTAACCTCCGAGGACGGAGTACCCGGACTGCAAGTTGGTTGTCGTTTTCTTGCTGCACGCGTAGCAAAAATGTGAATTTGTGTGAATTTGCCGCTTGTGTAAGTGATTTGGCCTCAGGCAGCATGCTCGTTGTGAGTTGCAAAAAAAAAGAAAAAAAAGAGAACGTATTTCTTGCGTGGTGTACGACTTTGTTTTCCCATTTTTTCTGCCACAGATATCGTAAACATGATGCAATCCAGCACAACTGTAGTCCTCGACGATATCTTTTAGAGGAGTGGCAATTTCATATCTAGTATGGAGTGAAAAATATGTCTTACATGTCACTAATCCCTTCCCACAAACCAGACACTATCGACAGGGTACTTGCTCGCGTGAAGCCGCCATGTTGTTTGAACTTTGAAGTACATGTACATAATTATAATACCAAGGCTATAAATATTAAGAAGACCGGCCATTTGCATACAACTGCCTCACCCTCATTCCTGAAAGATGCCCAAGACGTTCGTGAGTAAGTAAGTAAGAGTAAGCAAAAACTAGTTGTGCGAGGGCGCTCTTCAACAGAAATAAAACAACTATCGATCACTGACGTCTTGGGCCAAGACTAATTCCTAACATGAAATGGCAACTGGAGGATGAATAAAAGAACATATAGGTAGGGCAATAATTTTAAAAAATGAAGAACTTGAGTTGGCCTGTTGTCCCCGGGTAATTTCTGTGGCTGGAATCCCACCCAAGAAAAATGCGTGTGGATTGTACGCGAAGTGTTGAGATAAAATGTAAACTGTAAAATGTTTTCACTTTTTACAACTTTTAGTCAACCTTCGGCCACCATTTCATGTCAGAGGAAACAGCTCCTCAAACGGCAAATACTGAACATTTGAAGCAAGATATGGGACGGAGAGACCCTCCCTTGTGTTGGTCTTTGTTTTACCGGAATCTCAGAAATTCTTTACCAACATCTAGGGTGGTGTCAGGTAAAACGTGATTGGTTACTGAGCTGAGACACTGTTGGTGTGTAAATACACAACCCTATACTTTAGACTGTAAATCGCAAGATAATGTGATGGGTGTATGGTCTAAGTCAGCTGGTTTATTGCAGTCAGATCACCTTGATAGAGTCTTTGTTTCGTTGTTCTGAATTTGATTTGATTGGACATCGACCATGCACCAATTAGAGGCATCAAGTCGCAAAATGTACTTCGTCAACTGGGAGTAAAATAAGGGTGTTGATTCCTTTTGGCTGAATAGGGCTACAGAACAGTGGTGCAGGGCCTGCTGAACAGTAAATCTGGCCCTGATCACAATCTCTAAAATGATCATTATTTTGTTCGATGACGTCCGTGGTACAAAAAAAAATTCAAGCGCTGCATTTATGTACAATCCTCCAATGAACTTCCTGGTAAAACCAAAATCTCGTTCACCAGCCCTGCAGTCATCAGGCCAGAACAAGTAGTCTGAATGCGTAAAACGTCACAGTCGCGCCGTCTTCGTAGCTTTGAGTCAGCCCCGAACACACAGCGATTGTTTTTGTTTCATACGTGGCACGCACTTGTTTGGGCGCACGCTTGGCATAACTGACTAAAAAGCATTTCATTGCCCGTCCTAAAACGCCAATAGTAGGCCTATACCTTAGCAAAGCGGATATTACTTCCGCTGCTGGGAATGTCTGCAAGGTCCAGGTGAGCAACGTCTGTCGTCGAAAACTACTTGCAATACTCATCCTGGACATATTAGCCGGGAAGACATGGCGAGCGTGATAACACGCGTTGCTGACATGCAGTCTGCGAGTCAGTTTGGGGTGGGTTAAAACCGATTCAAATGAAAACCATGCACCTCCAAGCCAGTATGCGCGGGAGACCGGTGCGCACATAGAAAACGTTGCCTCGTCAGCACAAGGAGTCAAAGTACCTTTTCTGCAAGGTAGATATTTTTGCGAGGTTTTGAATTTTAACAATTGTTCATACCTTGAATTTAGTCTCATGGTTTATTTTATGCCTGAAAACTCTGAAGCCCTCCCCATATTGCCGAGCCCCCAGGAGTTATTTTCATTGATATCTTGCAGTATGTTTTGACACTAAGTTTGTGGACATCATCCCACTCTTTCGAAATGCCCAGCCTTCCAATATAGGTCGGTAAAAATGTTAACACTTTGTCCAAACTTTACGAATATGATCATAATGGTACCTTTACAT